AAAAAAAAAACCCCTCCTCTCTTCCCCCCCCCCCCCCCCCCCCCCCGGTACCTGGAGGAACATTCAGCGGCGACGGAAAAGAGGGGAAAACGAAACGCAGAATATGGCTAAAATGGCTAAACTAAACTAAAAAGATAACAGGAATATAACAAATGGTTTGGTTTGAAATTTGAAAAATGCCAAGTGTATGAAGAAATGCAATGTTTAAACCCTCCAGCTAGCATCAGCTAGCTAGTGCCAGATTATAATTTTCTGTCTCTTCATATAAGCATCAGCAGTCACTAACAGATACGCCAATAGAAAGACCAAATTGTAAAATCGGGCACAAACTTATTCCAGTTTTTTATTAGTTTAACATCAGAATAATCTAAGCTAGTCTGCAGCTTCATCTTTTCCACGTTAGCACATTTACAGTTTGCATTTGTCACAACGCGTTTGAACCAGTTCATTTAACAAACAAGTCGTGTTATCACTAATCCAAATTGTTGCAATTGAGCTCTGCAATAGCCATTTAATTTTAGTTTGTGACTCCTGTACAGCATGCGTTGTTATAAAATATCCAAACTGCGTGTGGGACTTGATAACACACAACTGGTTCTGATAAGTTCAAAGTTAAAATTAATACTCATAAATAATCAGAGCACTTCCTCACATGAACTTCACTTCGGATCAACGCCGTGCAGCAAGTGGAGCGGAAGCCTCGTCTTGCAGATTTCGTGTTGAGGGATGTTTTCTAGGCCGCCGAGCTGCAAAAATGCACAAATGAGTTCCTCAAATTTTCACTGGACGTTTTCACTGCACTGCTGCTTCTCTTTTATGCAGTTATTTTTTATTTTTTGTACTTATTTAGAGGTTTGCTTGGATAAAGCTCCCCGTAATGCTTTTGTGTGTGAAAACTTGGTGAGCAATGTGGTTTTCAGGCTCTTGCTAGCCTCCTATGTCGTCATCATCATCAAAGCAATCGAAAATAACTTTTTATTTCAACTTGTGTTAATTTATCCAATTTCTTTTGATTCTCGGCAAACGAGGGAGATTGACGGGACACGACAGCGACGCTGTTTTGACGGACGAGCAGTATGTGCTGTCGCACTTCTTGAACGTTTTGATTGACTCAAGTTTCTGACGTTGTTGTTTTGATCACTTCCTGGCATCCTGGCGGTGAGACACCTGGGAAGAACGGGTCCGGGAAAAACTCATTCTGTCACCTCAGAGATGTTTTATTTCATTTTTATCGGGTTGCGGTGTCGTCACGCTCCGAATTCGCAGCGTTTTACTCGACCTAATGCCGAGTGTCTGGGAGTAGTGGAAGGCGATTATAGTGGATTAGTGTCGGTGGTGAATGATCAAGCGGCAAATTATTCATTTGATTACAAAGGAGCAGGACAGAAATGGCTCCCTAATTAAATGAGTTGTTTAATTGATTTGAGAGATTGAGGTGCTGCCTGTCAAAATTAGTGGCATTGAGCAGATTAAGAGGCCGGGGAGTAAACATGTTATTGTTTTGGAAGTGGTTGGACCCAGCTGGATATTAAATGGAGCACCGTCACTAAGTGATGGGGGGAAACCAAGGTCAAAGACCCCAGACAATGGAGAGATAAGAATGTGTCCAGACTGAGCCTGTTCAGTATGCAGTAGACACTCGTTATTGAAAAGGCACGCACAAATGTAAAATACATATGCATTTGCATCAAGGTGTGTTGCAACTATACTGTTGAAGCCAGTGCTGTCTTACACTCTCGTCTCATCATTGGTATTAAAGTCATATTCAACTGAGATGTAATGTTTTTATTAACAGATTTTTTTAGTACAGACTGTTAATAGGGAACGTGCATAAATTTGTTGCATATTTTTATTACTCCTAACATATTTATATACTTTACTGAAGAATCTCAGAACCAGGCAGTCAGCTTTGTTCTTAAAGGGCCGGGCACACTGATTGTATAGGCAGTTTTCTAAATCCATGAAGTAGTTGTTGGTAACTAATCAAATCTGCGATTATATACAGATTAATTTCTCTTGCACATTTAGACTGTGTATTTTTTTTAAATATGCTTATTTGACTTTTTTTTTTAAATTAAACTATCACATGTTTTATGTTTTAATCTGGTTTACCATAAACTTGTCTGCGAATACAGATGAACATTTGACACATTTACATGATTATTTGTGAATCATCGTGTTAATTAATGCAGAATTGTCTGTTTTTTTAAAAAAAAAAATACAAACAAATATCCAGCCAGAAAGGCTACTGTGTACTTATATAATGGATACTTATAAATCAACATTTGTGAATCCAGTCAATGTTGGTTAGTCGTTGCAGTGCCATAAAAAAACTGATTTGCACTTGAAACGCTGAGCTAAAAGCTGTGACATGTGACATTTATGCCCGTTACAAATATATGTAAACTTCTTACTAAATCTGTACATTTAAAGAAACTTTGCATCTCATGCATGTTTTTTTTTTTTTTTCCAGTCAATTCATAATTGGCATGTGACAAATGTTTGTGCGACATTTCAAGTGTGGACCTTGAATCTCGATGAAAAGAGCCTTAGAGTTTTGTTCTAGCGAACGGCATTGAATCGGTTGACGAGCTCATTCTTGTCATTGTTTGTTGAAGTCTGCCTGAACGAACGACGCCAAAAAACCAAAAAAAAACAAAAACATTTCCATTTCGCTTTAGAGACATTTCTCTGCGTTTAAAGGGAAGAGGATTATTTGTCCAGAGAAATAAGTTAAAATAATTTAAGCAGTTTGAAGTTCACACTATTGTTTGGCTTTTCCTACAGTTTGGACGGAAACGTTGAAAGGTCCGGGTCTCTTTAACCTTCGCTCCATTATTTATCACGCACATGCATGTTTAATGACTCGACTGCACTAATGGCTCTGTCTTTTGCACAGCCTGATGGCGTCTGTGTGTTAATGTTTAACGTTTGATTGTGCTCCGCTCTCAGGCCGGCCAAGTGATGTGCCGGCGGATGGTGTGCGACTGCGACAACCCCAACGCCGACCTGTTCTGCTGCCCCGAGTGCGACCCCCGCCTGAGCAGCCAGTGCCTGCACCAGAACGGCCTGCTCACCTACGGCAGCGGCGACACCTGGGTGGAGAACTGCCAGCAGTGCCAGTGCCTGGTGGGTTACAGTTGATGAAATATCCAGTGACGCTTCTCGGGGGTGACGGTGTGTAAAATACAAAATAAAAAATAATAAAAAAAAAAAAACATAAGCGTTTCATTGGTGTGCCGCAGCGCCCACGCAAGGAATGCAACAAATACCCCGGTCTCCATGGAAATGCTGATCAAGGAGAGATGTGTGGTGAAGAGAAAGTCAAGGAGAAATATTTTGTTGGAGCAGAGTGATTAAGAGGTGAATAGGAAGGTTGCAGGGAGGAGAAAAGGGAGATTGGTTTTTGTGTGGTGCAAAAGAAAAAAAAAAGAAGAAAAAGACGTGATTGCTTTGATTTGTGTGAATACAAAGAGCCATCTTTGCTATAGTCCGCATTGATGGAATAACACGTTTCACTGAGGCTTCTTCCAAGGTTGAGCATGTGTGGGCTTCCCACTGCTGCGAGTTAACAGGGTGTATGCTCGCGTTGACTCGAGAGTGTTTGCCGAGAGTGACTTCCTCGTATTCTCTGCTGTACTTTGCAGTCTGAGAACCCCTATTCTTCATGCCAAACAAAATAACACTGAAGCTCTCACAGTAAGGCTTACAGTATAGACTATTTATTACTAAGGTCAAGGGTCAAGTGAGTACACGACGGCGATTGACAGCGGTAAGACCCTCCTTCTGACTCCGATTGGTTGTTTCTGATGAACAAATGTATTTTTTTCACATGACGGTAGGTCTACAGGGAGAAGGAAGAGGAACTCGTTTTTTTTTCCAGATTATCTGTCATGCTGCCCCAACATAGTGATAGTTTTAACAAGTATGTAAAAAAAAAAAAAAACGGAGCTGGGAATCTCTGCTCCCAGAGGCTCCAGATTTGCTGTGGAGCCTCGATGAAAACCGTCCATCATTTTCCTTCTGCTTTGCGGTCGTACCGCTACTTTGCATTGATCTATCACATAAAACCCCAATTAAACAAATTGAAGTCTGTGGAACGCGACTGCCGCTGCATGAAGGAACGGTGAATATACGACTCTTCTTCTGCTGAGTTCATCTCTACTTCGAAGCACTCTTGCTTTTTTTTCTCTCTCCCTCTTTCTCTCTCTCTTTTTCTCTCTCTCTCTTTCTCATTCACTCTTAGCTGCCTTTTAATAACAACTGTGCTTGTAGCTTAGATACTGTGACGTTTTCCCCATTCTGACAGATTTACCCTGTGACCAGCCCAGGCAATAACCCCCCCCCCCACCCCCCCACTAACTCCACCCCACCTCAGCCACCTTCCCTCCCAAGTGCTCTCCTGTATTGTGCTGTTGTCCTGCTGCCTGAACCCCAGGTCCGCTCTTTGGATTTCTTGCAGCGCACCATTACAGGAGCGCCTGAAAATCACAGCTCAGCTGAGAGGCAGCGGGGAAGCACTCTAGGCTGAAAATGAGATCGCTCTGCTTCACTCTCGCCGCAGCCGTGCTCACCGCAGGCACTTGTACGTGTTGACACAAACACATTTGAGAAGGCCAGACTTGCCTGCCACAACAGCGGCGCTCGCGCTGGCGCACACACACACACACACACACGGGGAGTGTAAACACCAGAACATACACGTTTGGAAATGTCGCCACGTCCGCACGCGGCCCGCAGATGTCCAGGTGTCGAGACCGCAGACGTTAAAGTCGGCCAATTAAAAGTTCCGCGCGTTTCCAGCTCTTGAAGGAGAAGGCAGCCGCCCTCTCGCCCCACCCGGTACCGTGGGGTGCAGTAGCGTGACGGGGACGTGAAATGAACCTTGAATGCTGCTACACTTAGGAGAGCAATGGCTGTCCAAACTCAGCGGGGACCTTAAAATACACAGCGACTGCAGCAGATGGGCGAAACATATTCGCAGGACCGAGATGTGAAACCTTCTCGCCTAAGCACATGCAATCATTGCGAAACCAGGAATAATGGCCTCTGCAGGCAAGTTTTTGCCCTCTTGCAACATTTCTGATGTTTTTATAATGACTTTTTTTTATCTATGTATCCAAATACAAAAAACTGCTCTCTATTGATGATTTGATTTGTAAAATTTACAATCCAAACCAGTTAGGCTCTATGTGAAAATAAAATCATCTCATTGCTAGGTTATATATCACACATGATTAAGCACACATTTTTATTTAGTTTCACTTCTATCCACACTCCTAACCTGATCTCTGCCACATGTACCAAGCAAAAAACTTCTAAAGGAACTGTTTGACAATATGCAAAGATGAAAATATATTTTAAAAAAAAAAAATCCATTATTGTCTCATTCTACAGAAATTAGAGAACAGAAAACATTGGCATCAATTTGCTTCCATCTAAACCAGTGGTGTGATATTATGTCAGTAAGTGTCTTTGCACCAACACAACTCATTTCTAAAGCTTTAGGATCCCAGTGAACTATTATCCATGAAAGATGGTGGCCAACCTACCAAAGTCACTCGGCGAGCGCACTGACAACTCATTTAAGAGGACACAAAGGAACCCGGAACAACATCTGAGTCACCGGAGACCTCGACAGTCTCAGTTAGGGTCAGTGTTCATGTGTCTACAATGAGAAGACCTGGCAAAAAAAAAGGCATCCATGGAAGAGTTTCACGGTCTAAACCTTGGCTAACATGTTGCTTTTGATACAAAAACAGCTCGATGATCCCCAAGACTTTTGAGAAAAATATTCCACAGACTGAAGAGACAAAAGCGGAACTGCATTGTATGGTGTGTGTGTGTGTGTGTCCCGATAGATCTGGTCCAGAACTAACCCAGCACTTCAGAAAGAGAAGAAGAAATGATGGCGGTAGTGTGATGGTGTGGAGCTGCTTTGCTGCTTCACAACCTGGACAATTTTCATCAGCAGATAAAGCTATTCTGCTCTCTGGTAGAAAGCCCGGAAGCAGGGACCTTGAGCTAAATCGCACTACGGTTATCCAGAAGGACAATCGATGGTCAACAGGCGACCAGCAACTCTTCCTCTGAGAGTTTTAAAATAAATAAATAAATGTTTTGGAGTGGCCATTTGCAATTCTGCAAGGAAGAGTGGCCCAAAAATCCCTCCACGATCTTGTGATAGACTCATGGCTAGTTTCTGTAAACACCTAGAGTTTGGGATATTTTGATAACTTTTTCTCTTATAAATAGAATCAGGAACTCCAAACTACATTTTCCATGTGCTAAGGTTATCTTGGTGTGATATTAACATGTGTTTTATGATCCGAGACACTGAAATGTGGCGGGAGACCGAAAAGCAGAAGCAGTCTGTAAGCAGTCTTTGGAGTGGGAGAGGAGAGAAGTTACGATTTTCCACCCTGTTAGAATCAAGAGAGCATTAATTTCCATTAACATGCATGTGAGCTGTACTTAAGGTCAAAGCACATTAAAAAAAAAAAGCAAACATGATTGTTTGAGCCTAATTTCCAGCCGGAGATAAATGTCACCAGTTTTAATCTCCTCGGAGGTATTTATTAGTATTCACCCTTGCAAACCGCTGAATGGTCCCGTGTAAGAAAGAGGAGATAAAATCACGACGAGACACAAAGAACAGCGAATGAAACGGCCTGTAGAAATAACAGAGACACCGAAGCCCTGTCCGCTGCGTCAGCTTGAGCAAGTTTCCACGCTGTGACGACCCATTACTCATTTGCTTCCCAAATCTCAGCGAAGGGGCTGCCAGTCAGGGGTGGATCTCCCACTTTGGAGTGTTTTCACAGACACGAGGCGTGGGCATCTGCACTGTGGGAGTCTGTGTTCTTTACAGATAAACTATTTTTTTCCAGCAACTTCTTGTAGAACGCTGATCCGGGCGATTTTCAGTGATATTAAATAACCCCCGGTGGGACACTTGAATCGAGCTTCGAACTAAGTGTCCGTGCTAGCATCTCCTGGCTTCTGTTGGGTTTTTCTCTTTTTTTTTTTTGAACAACATGACTAATAATTGGCTACGGGACATGCCACGTATGTCAATGGGCTCTTTGCACCTAAGGCGTTGACGTCACATCTCCAGGAG